TGAGAAGTAAAAACAAAGTAGTAACGCATATATAAAAAGCGTAAAGTCTTTATTAAGCGAAACTAAACAATACGGACACAGAATATAATTCCACGACAGCTGTTCAAATTTCCGACAATTTCGCAGCGATGCATGATTGGCATTAGTACCGTAAAATTCTTTCCATTTTATTTTATTACAATTATTACAGTGATCTTACTTTTACAATTTTTATAACAGTTCCTTTATAAGCAAAATCTGATGTTTAATAAAGTTTACGCCACAAATGAATGGTAATATTTTCTTGCTCTTCCGGAAGTATTGAAGTTAATGTTTAAGAAATAAAGCAATTTGCTTACAGATAACAACACATTAATCTCGCAAGAGTCCATACTCATAAAAATTCATTACATTTTCAACATTATTATTAGCTTTCATGAAATATTAAAGTTGTTTAGGATGCTATATTAGCATCTTTCATATTATTGATATTACTTAAGACATACCGTTAAAAATATAGTGATATTTACAACATTACGCGTATTGCATGAAATTTTCCTATACATTTTATCACTAATTTTTTCTAGGCAAAAGCCCACCAATAGCCGAGCGATAAGGTCGAGTTAATGTCACCAATGGTGGAGCAATAACATTGGTAGTTAGACCCGAGTTTGATTCCATACGAGCGGGCTAGCTGCATGGTCGTTTTTGTGGGTTTCCCAATATGTAACTTTGATACGAACCAGTTTCCCTTCAGAAAATCCTCCACGAAAGCATATCTTTAGGTAAATGGCCCTCACGTACTTTGTTCGTAAACAAATAAACGCAATAAATTATCTAGGCAAAATTAATTATAAAAATATATTCTCTTTGTGCACAATCCTCTTTCAGCGTATTCGTTTATCAAAATGTGTGAAATCGAAACCGATCATTACTCGGATCACTGAAGGTAAAGTGTTCACTACCTGTTTTCCTTAGAATTTTTTTTTGACCTTCTTGCTGAAACAACATTTTCTCAATGATTTTCTTTTATACTTTCAGAGTTCGTTCTGTTTCGTGATGCCGAAATGGATCATCAAACAGATCTTAATACCGAAGACAAAGTGTTTAATATACAATTCAGTTTTATTTAACACATAATAAAATAATTTCCTAAATTGATAGTTTCCTTTTTTGATGCTCTATAGAATATAAATTTTGGGTAGTTACTTTCAAAGGTATATGAATTGCATGGAAACACACTTGGCAATTTTTGGAACAAACAACTGGAGCACAAGGCTTAATTTTTAAAACCAGACCTACTACAGCCGTATGGAAGGCCTTTAGAAAATGCGAACAAAATAAAAATATAAATAAATGAAATTATGAATAATACATGATTACTAATTAAATAAAATGTAAACAGATAAATAATTAATGCTTAAATAATAACATATAACTAAGTAATAAAATAAAATGCCAGATCCCGTCTTATTTAGAGCTCCGGCTAAAATTACAATTTCTTTCAAAAACTAAAAAGCACCGGAGCCTGTTAAGAGCCATTTTGTATTTAACTTATTAGGACATGATAAACATCTTACTAATTGAACTTTCTGCTAATGCAGCTTTTGTAAATTCGCATAAAAATTTAGAATTAACAAAACCATTTTTGATGGTATGTTATGGTATTAATTAAACCACCTTGTTTTCGACGCTGAAATTCTTTTCATGAAATTATCTAATTTATCTAAAGAACTTTTCCATTATGTCTAGGGCCAATATTTAAGGAGTGAAGCTTCTATATAAAGCCTTTGTCGAATATCCTGTATATTTCAATTTAATTTGATACATACAGTGGTACCCCTGTATACGTCATTAATATATTCCTGATCTTAGGACTCCTACCAAACTGGAGATACCAAATGAACTTTTCCAATAACAAATGAAAGAAAAATAATTAATCCGTTCTTATACACAAATGCAATGGATTAAATACACATATACTGTATATAAATCAAGCACTGTTTATGTTACTGTACATGAATGTTTTCTGCTATCCGGATCAAAAATAATTCTTTATCATGCTGTAACGTCTCTGATTTTCTGTTTGGAAATCGATCCTCCCTCCCATTCTCTGGGTTAGCAGATTTATTAGAGTTCTCACAGTCATGTACAGCATCTATATTAGCATACTATATGCTGTCTTCCTACTTTTCAACAATGTACCTTTTCACCTCCATTGGAATCCTAACAATTTTCTTCGTTGCGTGACTTTTCTCGTTAATTCCCTAAAATTCATTGTTAAAGAATTTATAAAAATGAGGTTATGCGAAAAATACAAAATCACTTGAAACTTCGAGTTATAGTGCGGGCTGTTTACAGAATAGTAGTAACAGGCATACTGACGCTCATGGGCAGTAGTGGCGTTGTCTTGAAACAGGTAACAAATGTAGTACACGCAGTCATGACTGATCATATTCATTCGAGTCACATTCAAGCAAACAACATTCGAGTACAAGCAAATATCATACACCAAGCAAAAACTTTCGTGTCCAGATAGAACGTATACCATGTTAGACGTATTTCGAAGTGGCCGTATACTGAGGTACTACTACATATATTTGTTTATCAGAATTTAGTTTATGAACTAACAATTCTTTCTTCTTGAACTTCTTTTGTAAAATAATATGCATTTCAGATGGTGATATTTTTTCACATAAAAAGCATTTACTTCTTAACATTCATTATGTGTGTCTAAATTTTTTTTTTCATAAGAATTTACACAATTATGCTTTTAGAACTTAAATTAATTTTTCATTGTTTTAAGGTTAATAATGTGTTCATAAGCTTATAACTGATATTATTCTATATGTATCTTATTAAAAGTCAGTTATGTAGACCATTAGAGAGTGTAATAATCTTGAGACTTATCTGAATGTCCTTCACTGCTAGTTGTTAAAAATTTCAGAAGGTAATTTTTTTTCGGTTGGATTCTAGATAGATGTGCAACCGAAACAATGAAATACCCAATAAACTATCTAAAAGTAGGAGCGAAATTCCTCCTGCTTTTGGAAGGTTAAGTCTAGTATACAGTGGTCCCATTAATTGTGAAGGATTTCATTTGAAGGTATTTCCCACGTAGTGTTTTTAATCGGTTTTGAGACCTGATTACAAATAAGCCTTAACTAAATCTACCCTTTTCCTTCTGCAGCCCTAAAACGTGTAGCTGTGGAGGAATTTAGACATCCCATAGTTAAAAAATACCTGATTTTCCATTTACATGTATTTAGATTTAGGATTGTGAATATTTAAATGAGCTCGTTCTGTTTCAGTAGAGAAATAATGAAATATAATGCATCTTCTTTCCTATCCAGCTCCAAGTGAAAAGACACCTAGCGGATAGTAATAGAAAGCGAGACTCTTAGGCTTCCTGACATCTTTCTTATAGCTGGAAGATTTATATTTATCTTGAAACGTTATATTTTATTTTTGTGTTAAATGCTTTGTAGAGACATTAGGATTTTTTTGGAGGTCGAAGAGATGAAAAATTAGCAAACGCTTTCGCCGGGAATCGAACCATGGACCTCTGAAATACTGCCCTAGCGAGCAGAACCACTAAGAGAAATACCTTATATACTCCCCCTTTTAAAGGGCGACTGAGGTGTTTTTTTTAGGGGAACCCAATCGCCAAATCCTGGGTGAGGAGAATTATCATCCAATAACCTTTTAGTTCAGGCGCCACTGTAGAGACATTAGGATTTTTTGGAGGCCAAAGAGATGAAAAATTAGCAAGCGCCTTCCCCAGGAATCGAACTACGGACCTCTGCAGAACCACTACACCACGAAGGCTACGAAGGCGGAAGAATTACCTTATAGCTTTAATTCCTATTTTTTTTCTTTATTTATGTGTATATCCGGCTGACGTAATCACACCCTTTTATGATCCGTTGCATTTAAAATAATTCTTGTTAATTTTATACAAAGCGTAGCGCTAGATACATCCTTGTTTCTGAGGATGCTACAAACGAGTTTCATTTCAGTATTCTTTACCTATTAATTTTACTTTACATGTAATATCATATGTCCTCCTAGCTGACATTTTGCTTTATATGCAAATTCATTTCTTCTTTTGTACAGTAGAACTCGACATAATGTGGATTGAGAGAATGTCGAGTTTCCGAAAAGTCGAGTTTTACAGAATAATGGGTGGGTTTTCCAGAACTCTCAATATTTAAACCTTTGATGCCAGCGATATTATTTTTATAATGTCTTAACTAAAATACTCTAGAAATCGAATATTATGATCCTAGAGACAAATGATATATGAGTTAAACAAAAGTCTACTCTTGCCCATTGAGCTGTGGATGGCGGTCTTACTGTTTTCTTTTCTTTAGAACGACATTTTCACTTCACAGAATATCAAAAGTTCCCAAAATTAGGTAATACATATACGCTTGGACGTGAACTGAGGAACGATACCCGTAATGAACTGGTGTGACTTTAGTTTGCAATAAGATGCAGTCACAGAACTTCAAACAAATCTTTTATCATTTCGCAACAATAGAAAGGAATGGGAGGTACCTGCTACCTGACTTTCTTCGTATCCTCGAAAGATGCAAACAGCGTTGCTAAGTATTACAATATATCTTGAAATTTGTTAGGAAGTTTCAAGAACTAAAATGCGAAAACGGCAAAAATTACGGATAAAGAACACTCAAATATTTGAACAGAACAAGAAAGACATACGCATAAGTAATAATTATTTATACTGCATGTAATATTTGCTCTGTTTGGCCTAGAGATATCTTAAAAGCGTTCCTAAAAAGTGGTCAAGTTATACGGAATGTCGAGATATCGGGAGTCGAGTTTTCGGGACTCTACTGTATTACACGTAATGTTCTTATTTCGATATGATATGTTTATTTACAAATTTATTAATAGCTGAAAGAATGGCGAAACGTAATACATATTATTCATTGCGGCATAGGCTTTAGCTAATGCCTTACTCAAAAATAAGCTTACTACATTAAGCAAATCTCAGACTGAATTTCTTTAAATTTTTATTCAAAGTTCATCTATTGGAATAAATAGTACAGTGACATTTAATACCCGTATCGGGCATATCCTAAACCACCAAGAAGTCCGCTACCTAGACCATATCCTCCATAGCTAAGGTCTCCATAACTAAGTCCTCCGTAGCCAAGACTTCCGTGTCCGTAACCAAGTCCCCCGTAGCCAAGACTTCCGTGTCCGTAACCAAGTCTTCCGTAGCCGAGACCTCCGTATCCGTAGCCAAGTCCTCCATATCCAAGGCCTGCGTTTCCATAACCACCATATCCATAACCTACACCATTACTCGCTAACCCATATCCTCCTGAAACACCATATCCAGCTCCAGCATAAGGGGCTGAGGAAATCACTTGAACAGCAGCTGGATTCTGATTGGCAGTGCCTGGTTCGTTGGTCTTGACTTGGGCGCGGAAACCTGCATGGTCAGCGACATAGTTGACTTGTCTGTGGTTACCCTTGGCATCGGTGAATCCATAGCTGCCTTTTACGCCACTAGCACCATCTCCAACTTCCTCTCTATGCTGTTCGCCGTGGTGATCTTTTACACTGTATCCAAATTTGTAGGGCTGGGGAGCGTGATGAATCGGCTATAACAATAATAAAATGTTTTTTAGGTTGCTTGTAAATGAACAACAGTCGTACGTAGTTATTCTAAAGTCTTGTAACTTAGCAAAAAATATACTTATATTTTGAATTAGTAATTTTAGCACTTCCCATTTGGAAAACATGCTTAATGTGAAGCAAAGAGAAATTTCTGAAAGTTTTGTTCGGTATACGATGTACAGAAATACATCTCTTGAAACAGTGACAAAAATTTTCAATAAACTTTATATATTTGTTAACGTTTCAAGCACATATCGACGTGTAATTACCTGTCAATATGTCTAATAACGTTTAACTAAGGTGTTATGCTTTTTTTTTGCTAAAGGAGTAGTGAAAATTTCCTTATTATAATACTATGTTTTACTCAAATTATTTGAATTTATATGTTTGCAAATTTTGAAGACTATACCTAGGCTTTCAGACCGATATTTCATGTCAATTGAAACTGGAGTGTTTACTTCGGCCAGAATATGCAAAAATGCCTTTTGAACAATATACCTTCTTTTCCCTTCAGTGGCAATGGTAATGAATAGAAATGAATAGAAAATGAAATTTCTGAAATATTCCATTCAGTCACAGCCTACTGCTATTTTATATAGATAAAAGTAAACATATTGATCAGCATGTAAGTAAACAGACTCAGATGTAGATATCAAATCCTTTCCTTTTGCATCCTAGAATAAGGAACATAACATCTGAAACACAATTTAAATTTCTAACATATGCATCGACTTTTCTAATCATTTTTCCATTTCAATGATTTCAAATAAAATTAGCCTACATTTTTTAATGAATAATCATTTATAAGCGTACAAGATTTTATGTTAATTAACTTGTTTTGGGGGTTAACTCCTACTTTTTTCCTAAACTTCCACCAGGAGACAAATTAGTTAATGCAATATCACACACAAGAAATCTGAGTTTGAGAGAGAGCTATTGGCAAACTTGTTACTCTGCAACAACTTCCTGCTCCCGATTTGAGTTGCTTAATCGTCTGTAGCTTAGCTAGCCAGAGTTGCTTCTTGAAAATATTGCGGCCTGAGCTAAAACTTACTTAGGTATGTGTTATTTTGTATTTAATATCTTAATTTAAATGGAACGTTTACTTTTCGTTTTCCTGCAAGTAGCGGAGATATGATTTCTTGTTATCAGTTTTTTGTAACTGTTTAACTGACATGTGAATAAAGTAGTTTATTTTAAACGTTCATTCATCTAAGTTGATGTTACGTAGAAGGAAGATAGGACGATAAGCCGATTCTCTATATTTATGATTCTAGGATTAATGTAAGTTAGAATCTTTCAAATAAAACAAAATCCGGGTTGGTTTATAATATCATTCTGCAAAATAAATGATGCATAGTAAAAATTAAAGCATTCTGCAAAGTAAAAATTTTGCTATTTTATTTGCTTCGTAAATTGATATTAATTACTATTTATTACTAATAACAATAGACAAAAATGTATATTAATTCATAAAAAAGAAACTGTCTCCTAAAATAAAGAATTAATAATTAATAGTGTATTCTTTTAAACAAATACATAATTACCCACTAATATCCTGTTTATCATTACAGTTAACAAACTCTTTGAAATATCATTGAACATAAATACTTTGAAAAATAAGTCTTCGTTATAAAGATTTCCTTGCATATTTACAATTATTAAGCTTGACACTGAACGTTTTCCTTCTTAAAAATAAATGGCCTTTAAAACGTAACCAACATGTTCCCATTTTGGTAAAATAAATGTCTAAATTCTTCTTTGCCATAATCAAAAATACTCACCGTATAAATAACTCATTTATTTTATATAATTGCATGAATTATTATAATCGAGTATAATTATAATCTGAGAATAAACTACTATGAATTATGAACGGAATCTTCTGAAACTCTGCATTGCATTAAATCTGCATAAATTGCATTAAATCATTAAATCAGATATCCTAGTGATATAAGAAAACAAACTTTCATTATTAAATCTTCTACATAAAAGAAAGCAATAAGCATATGTAATTTATAATATATTTCACGTATGTAATTTACAATATATTTTACTGCACTTCAATGCTTAGTTCAATGTCAAGTGTCCGAAATTTATAGTAATATATTCCACTAAACTTCAATGCTTTGGTAATTTTGTACTAAGCACCTAGTAAAATGAAACAGCGATAAAAATTTGGTTATTTGTGGTAATTACTATATTTAACTTCATTTAACTATATTCAACTTTCATTTTGTTTCTTTATTAAATTATTTTCCTGAAGTCTACCATCGATACTGTTGATAAAATACAGCAACATTTTGCTGGAGGCCGCCTAGCAATTTTCTTGAAATAAAAACTATCAGTATTGGAAATCACGTTTTTAAGATTACCTCTAAAAGATCGTCGATCTGGATTCAGATGTAATCAGAATGTCTACTTTGACTCGTAATGTAAAAAATTTCTCAAGTTTATTTATTTATTTATTCCTAAACTTGTAGACAATGAGAATGAAAGCCTCTGATTATTATTTTAAAATTTTCTTCATTTATCAATAATAATAAATTATTTATTTCGGTAATAATAAATTATTTAATTATAGTATGCACATTACACATTAATTTTCACTTTATGGGCTTCCAGACAGATTTATCTCTAAATACTATGCATAAGAATTCAATATGTTAACCTCACCTAACTATTTAGAAAACGCAGCAGTTTTTATGATGTGATGCACTTAATCCGATTAGCATCTTGTTAATGTTTCGGAACAAAATATGCTGGCTATTTAACTACAGCGGAAAAATGAAGTCATTAGGTGCAATTCTCCATGAATATGCCAAGAATATTTTGTAAATTCAAATTATGCGTCAAATTATTTTGCATAATATTGACATTATAACTCATTTAATTGCTTTTACAAATATATTACATAAATGTGTTTAAAACAAAACCTTGATTTTGAAATTTCATTCCACAAAATGGGATAATTCACCGGATGTACTAAAATGAATCTCGCTTTGGAGACTATTGAGACTAAATATCCTGAAAATGCCTACAAGTTTATGCGGATGGATCACACCTTTCAAGACATGAGAATGTTGGAGCCGGCGTTTTCTCGAAATTATTTTCCTTCTGTGCACTAGTTGGAAAGTAGGGTTACTGGGTTACTGCCTGATACTGGTAGAATGGTACTAATCTGCGATTTGAGCAAAATTAAAAATGTAGAATTACTGTTAAATTCACAGGCGGATATTCAGTCCATTGATTCTATTCAGTCTCCACTATCATATGAAATTCCGCCATGTCAAAAGCTACTGATTGATTTCCTTGAGGTGCCGGCATAAACGTGTTGGTTTGCAATGGATTCCTGGCCATTGTAATTTGCATGGTAATGATCTGGTAGATATTTTTTTGCCCAGCGTGCCATGCTGTTCTACTGTACAAAACGAGAAACCTCTTTCCTCACCTCTAAACCATTTATAAAACAATTATGCAGACGAAGTACCATAATGATCTCCTTTGCAAAACTGATGCCAAATATGAAAAAAACTGTGTTTCGGATATATCTGATAAACTTCAGGCGGGAGACAAAAACTGCTTTTCGACAACTTGCCGGGAATGATTGCCTGGCTGTTCATTTCTTTGTCGTATTTGCGTTCTCACTGATGCTGCCTGCCTCTTGTGTGGCAAAAAACGAACCGATGGAGCAACATCACCTGCGTATCTGCGGAGTTCTCCGTGGAGACTGGGAGGCTAGAAAACTCTTCGGACGATATCCTCCGGTTATCTCTTGAACATTTTTATGTCATTTCTACTGCTTGATTTATTCTTGCTTTTCCCCTTACGAGATGTTTTAATTACATTTCTACTAATTGTTTTGATTCTTGTTCATAAGCCTCGCTATTGGCAATAAAAAAATTTCATTCCTTGAAGCCCGATACATGGAACTTCCAGTGACCCAGATCATAAAACGGTGAAACTGATTATTTTGGGGGCAGGAAGGTAAATGTAGAACTTTTGATAAATACGTAGTTCTACAATAACACTTTCTTTTCACTATATGTACCTGATACTTTAAAACAAATTTAAAACAATAAAGGAAAAATGTTAACATTCAAAAAAGCATATTCTCTTTTATATAAATATTTAACTACTCTTATACTTACCACGGGTAAGTGTGCGTACGATAAAGCGGCTACAAAAGCTAAAATGAAGACCTAAGATAAAAAAAAATATATGAAGTATGAGAAAACATTCACATTTAATACAAGTTATAAATACATTTTATTGCGCATTAAATTCAAAATATAGTGATTTTAAAAAAGGTTATGTTAATTTTTCTTATTTTGTATATCTAAATATCCAAAAAGTTTTAGAATTTATGGAACAGTAAATTTAAAAACAATTATACGTATGTATTTTATATGTTATGCTTATATGTAAATACAGACCAGAAAAACAATTATAATCGTCATATTTCAAAAGAAATTAAAACATTTAAACCCCCGAAGATATTTTCAAGGTGTTAATTTTTACACTTTCCTTGAATAGCATATAAATTTCACATGTCTAAAACTTTTTTTACATAATCATTTTTAAGTTAATATTTACCTGAGAGATCATATTGAGGGTTCTTTTTTAACAAACTTGAGACAAGTTATATTAGCTTGTTAAATCGTGTTAGACTGAACCGGTCAGCGGGTATATATAGTTATCAGCAGTAAATGAAAACTCTATACTTCCAGTTCCGGGAAACATGTTTTTACGGATGAATGCTTGTGGTATGCCATTTTGAACCAAAACCTTCTGAACGAGGTTAACTTCCAAATGTTTTAAGAGCTGTAATAAATTTCGTCATTGCTATGCGTACGTTGAGAAGAATTTAATAAAGTTACCTGTAATTAAATTATGAAATATATAGAGCTTTTCAATAGCTCTATATATTTCATTATTGCTATTCTGCTATAATTGCTTTCATGCGATAAATATCTAATGAAACAATTATATATTAGAATGCATCATAAATGTTAGATGTAAAGCCTTTTCTAACAAAGGAATTTTTTAAACAGAATTTAATGTTGAAACTTTATTATAAATCTCGCTAAGATGCACTCAAAACGTATTCATTCTACATCCTTTTAAAAATATCGCTTGTTATTCAAATTATGAAAAACTCCTTTGAAATTATTTTAACTGTAACGGCGGAAAAAGTTTATCAATGAATACAAAACAATAATTAATGAATACAATGACTCTAGTTTTCATTTTAAATCATCATTTTACGACTTCATTCTTTAAAAATGATGAAATATATTTTATACTATAAAACTTATCTCATTTTATTAGCTTTTATTATCTCATTTTAATCTTCAGTCTAGGGAAAGACTACTAATCAAGTTATGGCTTGCCATGACCGTTCTTATGTATAAAAATTGCTCATCCATTGTTAAATTATAATATAAGCTGGGCTTATCTCAGTCTCTATTATTAAATTATGAAGAATCTGCATGTATGTATGTATGTTCCTGGCATTATAGACTAAACTGAACACACGTGGTGCTCCACTCAAATATGTGCATCCTAAAGCCCGAATCTTTGATTTTCGAATTCGGTTTTTTTTTAGTCCAAAGGGGCTTTGTCCCTGAAGGACTATTGTTTTCGTTTTGCGATTTTGCGTCGGACTCATAAACGTCGGTTCACTTTTCAAACTGTTGCCACAAAATGTTAGAGTCCTGCATTATATTTGAAGAAATTAAATAATGAAAAATCTGCATAAATGATTGTCTATTTCTCGCATTGTGATAAAACAATGGTACATAGAGCCATCGAATTTTGAATGACGAAATCCTACTGCGAATATGGGCATCTGAAATCCCAAATTTGGAATTTGTTTTATTATAGATTTTATATTTTGTAAAACTTTAACGAATTTTTGATTTACAAACTCAATGCTTTAAAAGCGAGAAATGGCAACGTTATATAGAAAAAAATACTTTTATCTCCAGCTCGCGAGACTGTGTATATCGGAAATTCTAAAGATATGCTTAATTTAACATTATTTTGCGATATTGCTCTTGAAATGAATTTTATGGTTTAAGTGCAAAGAACATGATATTTAATAAATAAAAGTAACACTTAAAACGTTAAAAAAACGCCCCTTTGGACGTAATTTAAAATCTGAAACATTTCAGATTTTTTTTTTTTTTTTTTTTTTTTTTTTTTTAAAGTCCAAAGGGATTTGAATCCCGAAGGACTATTAGTTTCGTTTTGGCATTTTGCGTCGGACTCATAAATGTCGGTTCACTTTTCAAACTGTTGCCACAAAATGTTAGAGTCCTGAATTATATTTGAAGAAATTAAATAATGAAAAATCTGCATAAATGTATGTATATTTCTCGTATTGTGATAAAACAACGGTACATAGAGTCATCGAATTTTGAATAACGTAATCCTCTAACGAATATCAGCATGTGGAAGACCAAATTTGAAATTTGAAATTTGTTTTATGATCGATTTCCTATTTTTTAAAACTTTGACGAATTTTTGATTAACAAACTCAAGGATTTCAAAGCGAGCAATGGCAACGTTGTGCAGAAAAAACATTTTTATCTCCAGCGCGTGAGTCTCTGTATCGGAAATTCTAAAGATATGCTCGTTTTAAACTACTATTTTTGCGATATTGCTGTTTGCACTGGATCTTATGGTTTAAGTGCGAGGAACATGATATTTAATAAAGAAAGGTAACACACAAAATGTTAAAAAACGCCCCTTTGGACGTAATTTGAAATCTGAAACATTTCAGATTTTTTTTTATTATTATTTCATGTTTTGTGCAAACTTAATGGCATTTTGGTTAACAAAATCTACGATTTAAAAGCAATTTGATTTAATCGACTTAGTGATGTGAAAGATATGTATCGTCACTGGCCAAAATAAAATATTTTCATCTTCCATGAGACCATCTGTTGCCATTAGAAAAAGCTTAAGATATTTAATTTTGCGTTTAAATTTATACTGTCTGTCATTTATTAACAAACTAAACTACTGAAAAGCAATAAACGCTGTTCTTCATCTGTGTTGTTACTTAGTGTTAGCTTAACTCATGAAATTCTAATAGCTGAACGCAATAAAAGCATTACACATTTTTAGCCCAAAGGAGCAATTTGTCCAGAGGGACTATAAATTTCGTTTTGGCATTTTTGTTGATTCATTATAAACGGCGTTTTACTTTTCAAATTGTTGCCACCAAATATTAAAGCCCTGTATTATATTTAAATAAATTAAACAGTGAAGGATCTGCATGAATGTGTATATGTTTCTCGCACTGTGTGAAAACAACAGTACATAGAGACATCAAATTTTGAATACCGTAGTATTCCACTCGAATACGGGCATCTTGAAGCCCAGATTTGGAGTTTGTTTAATTATTTATTTCATATTTTGTAAAACTTTAACGAACATTTGATTAACAAACTCGACGATTTCAAAGCGAGCAATGACAACATTGCACAGAAAAAAATATTTTTTTCTCCAGCGTGCGAGACTGTGTATCGGAAAATTCTAAAGATACGCTTTTTTTACATTATTTTGTGATACTGCTGTTGAATGGAATTTTATGGTTTAAGTATGAATAACATGATATTTAATAAATAAAGGTAACACACAAAGCAGTAAAAGAAACACCTCTTTGGGCATAATATAAAGCGGCATAATAATTTTCCTTTTTTTTCTTTTTCTGAACTTAAATCCTGTGCGTGTGTGTATTTAATTATGGCAAAGCACACTAGGGCTATCTGCCTAAGGGGAGGGATGCCTTTCGTGGAGGACTTTCTAAGGGAAACTGGCTCGTATACACGTTACACATGGGGAAAACCACGAAAACGCCCATGCAGCCAGCCCGTTCGCGGGATTCGAACCTCGGACCGAACTACCCGTGTTCAGCGACTTTACCGCTCGGCCGCTGGTGGGCCTTAAATCCTGTGACTTATTTGGAAAGCATTTTTGTCGAACGACCATATCGCTTTAGTTTAGATGTGAATGAAAACTTTATTTTTTGTTTTTAATCTCCTTAAAACTGAAAGTAACTTCAATTTTGTGTTACTATCTTTTATGCTATCACAATTTTTAAGGATGATATTAAAGGATTAATTAATTTCGGGTATTTTTGTTTCAAGCTATGTAAATTCTATGGTATTACTTCTTTCTAAGAAACGCATGCCTTTAAATTTAAATCTGTTAAAAAAAATAATTTTTGTTTAACTCTGTCATGTAACAAAGCCGTATTACTACTTTTAATTTGCATCTGCATTCTGAATCATTGACTTAGAATCAGATATTCAAAACGTAACGAGTTGCCCGCTTACAGTTCGTATAACTCCCCCCTCCGTCATCGTAAAAGATTGTTATGAACGTTTTATTGATTGAATGCTGAAGAGTATCAGCATTCAGTCAATAAAATATTCACAACGTGCAACGCGAATATTTTCTTTCTTCGCCTTTCCTCCCGCAATTATTCGTTTCAGTTATGCATGTAATTTTTAATGTTTTAGTTAACTTACTTCTGTAAGTTTTTCCTGTGTTGTATATCTGTGGGGCATGGGGAGATTGTATGTGTTCAAAAACAAAATGCAAGTGACTGGACAGATATCGCGCTCTTGCAAACTCCAAAGCTACAAGGAGAGATTATACATTGTTTACCATTCAATTTGAAGCAATTTATTGCTGTTTTTTAGTGTGCTGCTCGGGAGGTTTGCATTGTACTACCTATTTAACTTAAGGTTCAATTATTTTGTTTCAAAGTTCAGAAAATTATCTGGTTAGTAATTATTACGTCAAAAAAAAACGGTTTTTTCCCTGGTTCCTTTTCAGTTGTTTGATAGGAATAGAATAATTGCTAGGTATAAATATGAAATAACGAAATTCGCCGCATCCATAACGAAATAATTCAACAGATGACAAATACTGAGCAGGTCCTTTTTTCTCGAGAACTTTATCCCCTTTCACACAGACTTTATATGCTACTGACTGGACAATTCACTACAGGCTGCGTCGCGAGTATACTTCAGCCTCAGAAGTTAAGGCGGGAAAACAGAGGATAAATACTTACTTTGCAATCAGAAGCCATAAATTTCGACTCACGTATATGCGGTAGCTTTGCAGCTACACATAAGAGAGTGATTGCCATTTTGTTTGCGTAAGTGCGATTTAAAATTGCATTTTTGCTATGCCGGTCATAATATTTTTTGCTTAAATACAAAATTTATTACTCCGTATAATGAACATTTGATTTAAAAATGGTTAATTTTGATTTCTAGGCTTTTTGAATTTTCATAAAACTGTGTTTTAAAGTTTTAATAATTAACGTTTTCGAAAAACATTTCAAGAATGGCTGAAAATGGAATGGATGGTGTGATGCAAGATCTAATTTAAAAACCATTTAGACTTCAACCTTTCATTGAAAAGCAAGAAATAATCAAAAACGGTAGAATTTGCCCTTTTTTAATTAATTTATATTGTAAATATAAGAATAAAAAAAAGAATTTGTAAGTCTTTTCCAATCTGCTCAATCCAAGAAAATTAGCTGGTTAGCTGGCTGTGATTAAAAAAAAGTTCTTTCATTGGATTTCTCTCCTGTTTGGTGTTGACAAAAGGAGTGTGTGGACTAAGCAAGACATGAAAACTTTCTTGGTCATATTAAAGCAAGTTTACAACTTTCCACATTTGAGCGATCAAGAAAAGATTTCCAGTTAAATCAACAGAAGCAAATATCTATGAAATTTCGTAACGAGGTCATAACGAAGAACAGAGAAATTTTAAAATAGTTGATGGATTGTGTATACTTCTTGGCAAAACAAAAGTTGCTTATTAGAGGCCATGGTATATAGATTCAATAAATATAGGGAAAACTATTATATAGAATTGCTAAATAGTCTCAGCTTGTATGATGTTCTTGATAATTACTTAAAAGAATGCACAGATTTTCATGGAATATCCCCGACTATCCAGAATGACATTACAAATTGCATCAAAAGTTCTCATGAATACTATGAAAAAAAGAAATAGCTAAATCTCAGTTCGTTTCAGTCCTTCTAGAGGAAAAAATGAATTAAATTACTAAGTCACATTTATCTTTACATGCTTCCGATATGTAAATGATAAAACAGAGCTCCAAGAAATATTTATGGGTTTCTCTCACGTAACTGCCATTCGTTCTGCTAAAGCACAATTTTCGAAATTGCGAAACAATTTGACTTTGAATCATAATTTATTGGATAGATCTACGACGGACCAGCAGTTCTGGCAGGGCAAATAACTGGACTGCAGAAACGAGTAGAAGAAAAATATTCTCAAGCCACTTTCTAACGTTGCTATAGCCATGTTTTAAATTTGGTTTTGACCCAATATGAATGCGCTGTTAGAGAAATCCCGCATGTTTTTTAGACATTGTCTGGTAAATCTGCATGCTTTTCAACATTTACAAAAAAGAACTCATGCACTAAAAGAAAGCTATCCAATGGAGAAAAAATTACCTAAAGCTTCACCTACAAGATAGAACTTTTGCTCAAGAATTGTTAACACAGTGTATGGAAGGATAAAACACTATCTACATTTTTTGAAGACATTATAGAGATTTGCGATGATTGAGATTATTTACGTGTATCACAAGGGCATAGGTTAATTAATATTTTCGTTGAATGTAAGAACCATTTTCTCCTGTAAATGTTTTTAATGATTTTTTGTCACTCAGATATACGTTTTGAGGTTTCACAAAAGAAAATCATTGATATTGCTTACTATGCAATAGAAATCGCAAACTTTCAGTGTGCTCACATCACAGAAAAGTGACCTTTGAAGCAGTGTGGGAAAAAGCCGGCATACAAGAGATAATGGAATAGTCAGCAGAAAGAATGTCTGTTGATAAATTCGAAATCAGGCTACTTTACGTTGAGATTTTAGTTAATATTTCAAATCAAATAGCAGAAAGATTTGGTTTCCTTACTAAACTTGAGTTTATGGCCTTTGAGTGAAGAGAACTTTGTTTCTTAAAATTCAAATTTTCTCGATTTATTAACCGTAAATAAATTAAGTGCCAGTCCACACTGCGAACTGTTTGATTTTGTAAAGCATAACAATCAGCAGCTGATTGCTTTTTACAGGGCTTAATTTCTAAGATTAGAAGTGCCGGAGCCCTATGGAAGACCGTCGGCAAAGAGGAACAAGAGTAAATAAATAAATAAATAAATAAAATGACTATTAAACTCATTAATAATTTTTTAATTAAATAGTTAATTATTATAAAATTAATGAATAGCTATTTAATTAATGTTTATGAATTGTTATTCAATAAATAAATGTTATATAATTAATTAATTATAATGTAATCGATAATTATTAGAGAATTAATTAATTATAATGTAATCGATCATTATTAGATAATTAATTAGTTATAATTTAATTGATAATTATTTGATAGTTAATTATTATTTATTGAAATAATTAAAGATTGAAGTAATTAAATAATTAAAATTAAATAAAATGTAAAGAGTTAAATTGAAATTTAATACACGATTTTTAATATAATTTTACTGTTAAAATAAAATTTTCGAGATAAAATTTTTACTGAAATTGTTATTCAATTACATAAAAGAAGTGCCGCAGCCTTCTTATTCAGGGTTCCCGTGCGTTCCGACTAGAATTATGATTTATTACAAAAACTAAGAAGCGCCGGAGCCGAAATCCGATGGGCTCCGGCACAATTTAAGCTCTGATCGTAAGGAGGGGGGGGATTGGTTTTTAATCACAAAAAATTAAGATAATACTTAAAAGTACAAGGCTGATGACAGAATTCCAGGGCGAGGGCAGAATGAGGGTATGAGTGGATGGAAACAAAAAATGAGGGAAATCTTGGTGAAAAAGAACGTTTTCTTTGACCGCGGCTCTCTGCTGATATAATTGTAGCCATTAAGCAGATGTGTGTTAGTGGGAAAAATGAGTCCTGAATCTGACTCCTAAGGATGAATGTAAAGGATGTAAAAAGTTGCTGGTTACGCTTCCACCCCCCCCCCATATTTGGTTACATTAGGATACTGTGGGAAGACGATGTATAGGACGTGCTTGAGCAGTTTATCTCAGTATTTCACTCTTATTGTAATCGCTATCACTTAACGCTCATTTAAGAACACAAATTTTCCTTCCTGCGAGGATAACTAACTGTAAACATCGATAACAGTACACTAGATACGATGGCATGGCGAGAAATTTGCGATTTCCTAAACAAACTCCCCAAAATTTATTGCTTTTCTCAAAGGGAATGGTTTCCGCATGTGAGTGGGAGGACTTTACTTGAACGTCTCATGTTCTCATGAGTTCGTATTTCTAGGGAAATAGAGTATTGCAAGGTCTGCTTATCTTAATTATTAAAGGAAACTAAAACCTTAGGAATTCTAAATTTTTCCCCCTTTAAATTGTGGTTCAGTTTTATAAAAAGAAGTACCGGAGCTCATCTTATTTAGGGCTCCGGTAGGCTCCGGCGCAATTTAAGCTTTATATTCTTCTGCGGAATTTGAAAATAAACCTCTGCGTGAACTAATACCATATATGAATACTAATAATGCTCATAGCATTATGAGTAATACTTAAATTATTTTTACTCATTCTGGCAACACCAGCTTCAATTGCATCATCAGAACGATCACTTTTAGCATTTTACAAACGTAGCCAATACTTTTTTCTGCAACTCAGAAGAGAAATATAAAATTAAAACTAAGTTAAATAATCACTCGAAATTTCATAGAGATAATTAAAGAGTTTTTCGTAGCCCAACCACCGACGTACATCAACCGGCAATTAATATCCACGGCCGTAAAATAGCAAGATTAAATCATAAAAACAGCATGACCGAACGACAGAAAACGCTCTGTCTGAAGTAACTTAGACACCAGCTTAAACAGTATCTTTCTCACCTATTTTTCATATCACGCGAAACTGAAATATCATTCTGACAGGAAATGGAAATGAGGAAAGACAGAAAAGCTAGGTAGATGAACAGAACTGGTTAGTTTAAAATTAAAATAACATTCCTTATAATGCTTTTAATGCATGTAGTGAAAGTGATAGACATAACTGAATGCTGTGATAAACAGTCTATTATTATACAACATTTCTGAGATCACGTTCTTAATTTATTGACTTTTCATTTAAGTGATTATCAAAAGTGAAAAGCTATCTATCACTTATATATAGATTTTGACAGAATTGCGTAGTTTTATGCAGTTACCAGTCCTTTTTATTCGTTTTGAAATAAATATTTTTACAGAGTTTGTTTTAAATCTAGCTCTAAAGTTCTTACCATTTTTAAGACTAAGCAAACAAAAATTATAAAAATGACTGAAAGAATACTGATAAACGTAAATTGATTATATCATAATGAATAAAAATTAATTAAAAATTTTATATATTTCTATTCTTTTTAAATACAATATATATTTAAAATACAAAAATTTATTTGTCCAGTTATTTATGATTCGTATAGCTCATCTTGCTGATCTCATTTAGAAAATTCCAGTACCAGAAAACGGGCTAAGAAATTACGTTCCGTAATTAATTATCAAAATTATCTATTGTCTTGCGTTAGATTAATAACATAATAAAAGGCAAAGAGAATGACATATAAGTACTATTTGGATAAGATGATTTTTAATTTTTTACGTCATTAAAAATAACTTAGTATTCAATAAGTTCAAGAAATTTTAAAACTTAGTATTCAATAAGTTCAAGAATGTAATGCATTTTATAACACATATTGGCATTAGTTCAGTGAAATTTCAAATTCCTTTGTAGCCAGAGCAGCAAAATTTCTACATAAAGCAAAAAAAATATTTTTATTACTTTTCTATTGAATGTTCTCTAATTTTTGCTTAATTTCAGAACTATAAATATCATAATATTTTAATAAGTTATTTTGGAATGACTTTTACGTATACAAACTCGTGAAAATTGGATGTACTACAACCAAAAATTTTGAATTTTTTATTTAAATAACTATTTACATGATCAACTAAAATTTTTCACTGCTATAAAAAGAAATAAAATCCCATAAATTTCATAAATATTTCGAAAGTCTGCTTAGCTAATTAATTTCGGAATTTCTATTAAACGAAATGTCACCTTTTCCAGGTTATTGAAAACATTTTCGTAACTTCTCCTTTCCGTTGGCAGTGAAAGTGATTTAAAAAGATATTAACATTTTTACGATTTCACCAGTTCGTTTTCTGCTGACCTTGACATCTAAATAGCTTCTAAAACAATGTTAGAAAAGATTAACTCGTTTCGCTAAAGTAAGCACGGAACTTTGTTTCAGAACTTTCATTCACTCATGCGTATCGATTAATCCTAATTGTTTGCAAATACGCAATTTGATCTTGAGTATATAAGGTTCGCTAGTGATGGATTGATGTATTGTTTCGTTTTCTGACAATCATTCAGCAAATCAACATGTTCTGTCGTGTAAGTGATAATTGGATTGTAATAACAAATTTAATGTACATCGATAAGTGGTTTGTAAAACAGTTGTAAACATCCGTATTTTGATAATGTAACTTTATTATTATCTTTCAATTAATTTTAATGTTGATTAATTTTTTTTTCAAGTAATGCAATTAAATGATCTTGAAATTCACTGATTTTGATTTAAGTGAAAACTTTCAAACGTCAAAGTAATTTTTATATTATAATAATTGAAAATTTTATTTAAACTAAAAAACTTTCATATTTAACTATTAAACTGATGATGAAGAGAGGAATGTAAGATCAATGATGTAAGAGATTAATTACTTTCCTTCTCCCCCCTCCCCTCAATCATTCAAATTCTAATAAAAATAAAATTAATCTTCGATTATTATAACTTTTATTGCTTTAAAAATGCTGTGAAAATTTCAGTATTTTTTATGAAAAAGAGCTGCAACTTGCATAAAGCAGATTCAGAATAATATGCATTGCCCTGCTTTATAAAATAAATTCAGAATTACCTCTGTTGAATTGCTCTAAATTTTGCCACTTTTAAGAAGAATGTGTACATTATACTTAAAACAAAATTTCATTACCTCACATTTATAAATTTTAAAGTAAGTGCATGTATGTTTTGATTCAAAGTAACAAAAATACTAAGTTTGCTGATTTTAAGATTTTAGTAAATGGTTATTTTATTTCTATATGTTGCCCATATGTTAACCACTTCATTGAAAAGTATCTTTGCAGATAAAATAATAATTTTCTAGTTCAGGAACAATTTCAAATTTAATGATAATATTTTAAATTTTAACCCTTTTTGTGACAAAGAAAAATTCCTTAAAAGGTAAATTTTATGAAATACCTTTCTGTAACAATTTAAACTGAACAAAGTAAGAATGAAATTTCAGGCTTGATCTCGACTTTATGTCGAGCTCAAACCTGAATATGATATTTAACAGAGATATTTATCTCATAATGGTATTATTTTCCGAAAGAATGTTTTCATTTTTCATAAGACAGTAGGTTCGGTAGAGTATGGAAGATGAGTTTATCATATGACCAGCAATGCAATTTCTTGTAAATACACCATATACTTTTGATGAATTTATGACCTTTAAGAATATCAATTATTAGAATTTTCTCTACATTTTTTGTTGTTGTTATTTACAGGTACTTACCTTTGCTGCCATCATTGGCATTGCGTTTGCTTCCTTGCCAGTTGCAGTAAGTATTTCTCTCAAATCCTAAATTAGCCATGCTCTAACAAATGAAAAATCTATCTTAAGGCTGAATTAATTTAAATGAAAACTTACTACAAAGTTACAGATGTGAAAATTCATCACGTAGTAAAAATATAACTCATTATTAAGTGACGAAACAGTGGATTTTACTGTATCATTGTTTTGTAACCTTTCTCACTTATCGAGTCGCATTTTTCTTAAAGAAGTGTTAGTCAGTTGTTAGTTTACTTTTGTATTTTAATTTTGTATCAATATTGAATTATTTTTAATTCTTTCAAATTGGGCAAAGTAATTTATTTTTATCTGAGAGAGCTGCAATTTTATTCTATTAAATTCAAAATTCATAGGAAAATTCTGAATTTAAAACGATCTTCCGCATTATGTAGGGCAAAAGTTTTATATGCAACCTTTCAACTTAGCCTCCAATTTCAGACGAATTACTACAGAAGAATAACTAATAATTATACTTACTAAAAAGATTGATTAGATTAAAATTTTAATATAAGAAAGCTCTGCTGCTCTTTTGTGAAATTACTTGATCACATCTGTTCATAGATCTCTTAAACCTGAAGTTCTTGAAAAATCACAGCATTATAAACCATCAACATCAGCACCATCGTTAATTTTAATTAAAAGTTTCGAATACAAATCATGTTTCATTTTTTGGTTTACAGGATGTTGTACGAACTGAAATCTATAAAATTCCACGTTTAATTTCCGCTCTTCTATTATGTGAAATTATAACTTTGTTTCTTTAACAGAGAAAACAAGGAATGAAGGATATAACAAGCTATAGCATTTTAATTTGATCTGATAGCCTTCTGCTTTAATTAGAAACATAAAACTAAGATAAATGAAGTTGTTTTGAAATAGCATTAACAGGATTCAACAGTAGATTAATACATTTCTAACCACCTTAATAATGTGACAATTAATAACTATATTTAAGAAACCAAGATTTGTTTGTGATTTGTATTAGACGATTTAAAACAAAGTTTTCAGAAAATGCAAATTTAATGTGCAAATTATATTTAAATAAAAATTGTAATTAAATTTATTTAATGTATTCAATTTAGCCTAAAAATAATCCTTTTTCCCTGATAATAAATTATTTTTCTTTATAAAAAGACTCAACTAATAGTTAGTCTACCGAAATTTTCATATTTTAAGCAATCACAAATTATCATTCCAGGTTCATCAACCATTGCATTATCCAGTTCATCATGCTCCTCAACCATACAAGTTTGGATACAGCATCAAAGATCATCATGGTGAACAGCACAGAGAAGAAGTCGGAGATGGTGCCAGTGGAGTGAAGGGTAGCTATGGTTTCACAGATGCTAGAGGTATTCACAGACAGGTCAACTATGTTGCTGATCACGCAGGCTTCAGAGCTCAGGTCAAGACCAACGAACCTGGTACCGCTAACCAGAATCCTGCAGCTGTCCACGTCATTTCTGAAGCACCATATGGAAACGGAGTTGCTGTAATTGCTGCTCCTGTGGCTGTGCATGGTCTGGGACACGGAGGATATGGATATGGAAGTGCTGGAATCGGTTATGGAGCAGGTTTGGGATATGGAGCTAATAGCGGCTTGGGATACGGCCTCGGAAGCTTGGGTTACGCAAGATATGGTTTCTAAATTATTATCCTATGAAAGAATGAATTAGATTTCTGTGTATATACGTTTTCTATCGAAATAAACTTTGCAATTCTTTCAGTGTTTCTTTTATTTTTAAGTAAACTCTTTAAACTTCTCCTTTTAGAGCATATTAATAATTTTAATGAAGAAAATTAATAAAACTTTATTATGATAAACTACTGAAAACAATCCAAGCTCCAAAAATAAGCTGAATGGTAATGAAATGTTAATTAGCAGATTTTTGATAGTTGATGAAACAATTTATTATTGAGGCTGTAAATTTCACTTCCTTTATTTCAGCCTTACATAAATTATGCTTTCTGTCTAAGCATAACATTTTAGTTCTCTGTATAATTATGTATTGAATTGTGTCGAAACTAAAATATTTGTAGGAAATATTAAATTTTTAGAATACATAAAAGTGTGTTTTGATAAGGATATCAACGTGAAAGAAAATGGATGCAAATTCATTTGTTACAGTAAACCCTTTCCGAAACTTGTAGAACATGATTTTGCGTATACGCATTACCTTTATTTTCTTCATTTAATTTGCCTAAAATTTTAATTATACGCAGTACGCTGAAGAGCGTCGGACGCAATACGATATCCTCTCTAATGACTATTTGAAAATTCATTAATTAAAGAAGTCAAACATTACTCAAACCTTAACCATTAAAGTTCTCCTAATTCTCGCTAACGCTCCAGGACACGGTGTTGAAGCCCTCACAACATTGCATCCAAATATAGAGATTTATCAACCACAAAGGTCATTCCAAAAAACTACTGATTCAATACTCATTGCTCCATTTTCAAACAAGTAAAGTTATTTTATAATCACCTTGTATAAAAAAATATCTACTTTATTGCAATTTTTCCATTTATTCATCCATAAGTTAAGCACACTGTAAAAACAGTACGTTGCACATATTAACACATACATTACTTTTGCGTGTTTGCTTTAGAATAAACCTTTTTTTTTTTTCTTTTACTTATTTATTTACTTTTGATAGCTGGAACATTTGTTGACAGTTATGTAGCCTTTCATTTTGTTTACTCATTTTGTTTCACTTTGCAGTCCGTTTATTCATAATGTCAGTTTATCTTCTGTTTTCCATTAATTAATTAATGTAATACAAAATCTTGAATTTTACGAACTATTGAATTTTACAATTCCTCTAAAATGTAACGAGAACATTAATTTACTAAACTCAATTTTCGTAAAATTCAGTGACAGCATACTGCAAACAAGATCATGATTTTTAATTTTGGAATACTTAAGCTAAAACATAATCATTTGTATTAATCTCTTAAGGATATAGATTGACAAATATTTTACATATTATATTAACATTAGTATTTTGAAGACGTCTAACCATGTACGTTTTCATTTAAATAATTTTACTGTAAGGAATAACTCTTTCTGGAACTCTTTTAAAACTCAGTTAATAAAATTCTAAAAAAATTATCTTCTACTTATTTATTCTAACCAAATTATTTTCAAACTAATTATCAAATTACAGATTTCCTAACGTTTTGGGAACCAATTCTGGTTTAATAATTAATAAAAATTCTACTTTAAAAGACAAAAACTTCAAATACATCAGTTTTAACTCAAAGAAAGCGTGTAAATACCACAAGGCCGTATGAAGCACTAAACAAAAAGTCCAGAATTTTGCCAGTTATTAAAGCCCAATTGGGCTTGTCTCATGCACATCTTCATTAAACACATTCCTACTGTGTCTCTTTCTATCTGGCAAACTGGCAACTGATGATGTCTAACAACAGTAGTACTGTTTCAATAACACAAGTGAGAGGATGTCCACAGGGGTCCTGTGCAAGGGCCTCTGCTATGGAACCTCACCTTTAATAAAGTCTTAGAGGCAAGGTGGCCACAACATACTGTGTTAGTTGCATACGCGGACGACGCGGCATTACTGGTCAGAGGTCATTACTGGTCACACGTGCTGAGCTTGAAGCCCATGGCAGTGAGTCATGCACTATCTTTGCCAACCTCTGCGAAGAGCTAAAACTCCAAATATCCACCACAAAGTCCACTGCTATCATCTTTCCAAGAAAGGGTACAAATCCAACACGTAGCCCATGTATCAAACTACAAGGCCGGAATATTAAAGTCGTAAAAACTTTAAGATACCTTGGAGTAATATGGGACCCAGGTCTGACTTGGCTTCCGCATATCCAGGCACAAAAGATTAAAACATCTGCAATTGCCAGGAGGTCACGACAATTCCAAGGCCGGAAATGGGGTACGGAATCCCCACATTCAAAGGTACTTTACAAAACTGTAGCTGAGAAGGTGGCACTCTATGCGGCAGCTATATGGGCACAACCCATGACCGCACGCAAGGTTAAGCAACTCCTATCACTACAGCGCCCATTCGCCCTAGGTTTATGCAGAGCCTACCGCACCACTGCAACTTATGCAGCACTCACCTTGGCAAGCATCATGCCACTTCATATCCAAGCGGAGCTAGAGGCCACATATACTAAAATAATACATCTACAGAAAGACGCAACCTTTGCAGGCACCTTACATAGCCCTGAAAGTTACGAACATGCATGTACTCCTCTCCACACCCACCCAGCACACAAGGGACTTGGCATTCACACTATCCTCAAACTTCCACGACATCAACCAGAAGGAAACCCTAATATGCACACGTTCTACACAGATGGCTGGAAAACTGCTGAGGGTGTAGGTAGTGCCTTTATATACTACAGGCAAGGCCATGCTGCACACCATTGGAAAGGGCACCTCAATCCAAATAATAGCATTTTTCAAGCAGAAGTAAGTAGTTGCCATAACAGCTGCCATTGAATACGTGGCGCTCAACAACATCACACATGTGCAGCTTTATAGAGACAGTATGTCGACACTGCTTGCTCTTGACAAACATAGTCACGCCTCCCCGCTGATCATACGACTGCAGCATATCCTAAAAGATAATCGGCACGCACATGTTGACATGGGTAATGAGACAGCGGATGAACTCGCTAAGGAGGCTGCTTCGAACCAAAATGCCAGACCGATATCAGTATCAGCACCACCATCTTTCCTCAAAAGTCAACTGCGAAATGCCGCTATCCAGTGGTGGCAAAGAGAATGGGATCAGGGCGACACGGGAAGGAGAGCGCATAGCTTCTTGCCAAAAGTAACCACGGAGCGCCTTATGGCAATTGCTCCCCTTACCAACTTCATTACTGGTCATGGTCCCTTCCCGGATTACTTCTACCGCCGCACCATCTCAACCACGGATCGCTGTGTTTGCGGGGGAGAGGGGTCACCGGACCATTATATCTTTCAGTGCCCACTCACGGAACAGTTCCAACTTCCCGATACCAGCCAATATCTCAGCATTTCACAAGTTCCTAGCCAAAAACAGAGCGGCCATAAATAAAATCTGCAAAGTAATAACCACCATTGCAGCATATGGCCAGGACCTCTGTCAACCAGAGTAATAGGGCTTATATGCATTACTTGCACTGACATATGCACTCTTATGCTCTACCATCTAATCTCTGACTGCATAGGGAGCAGAAGAAAATTGAACACCAATTTTAGGTGTTTGGTTTTCTTCTTTTGTTATAACCTATTAAGCGTTTTTTTTTTTTTTTTTTTTTTTTTTTTACCGTGCCTGTATGTTAATTCAAATGTACTTCAAATGCCAGATGTTGAACAGTTGCCCCTGTATGGCCATGTATCCACACTTATAATTATTAACTCCAGGGAAGGACGCGAGGATGCCTGTTAACCTCTGTTAATCTTCAGGCGTCCCCGTCCTCCGTCACCTGTCACCTGTCTCTTTCTGAACGACAAAAAAATCTGCTTTTTTTTCGCCTTAACGTTAGGATAAATATATAAGTCACTTTAAAACATAACCTTTTTATCTTTCAACTTAAACCTATTTGAATGTTTATTTCTAAATAAACTGAAATAATAATTTTTGTTATTATTATGTCTAAAAAACGAGGATATTATAATAGAGAATCCTTTTTATGTTCTAAAAACAATAATTTTACTTTATAAAAATAATAATATTTGTTTCAAAATTTGTACTTCATACTAAGCTGTGTGTCTTCCTTCTTTCATAACATCAAACAGAAAAAATATTGTTTCTATTAAATTCATAAAGTTGCTGAAATTTCTTTTCAGTAAAACGTACTTAAAGATATTGAAAAGTAAAGTATTTGCCAATTATTCTTCATATCTCTTAACTAAAAAAAAATTATATTTTAAACTGTACTGAATTATTAACCACTATTTCTGTCTCAGATCATGCAATATCAAACAAAGCATTTGCTGTGTGAAACATTATCACATAAATATAAGAAACATTTTATTAACAAAGCAAACATTTATTTTTATCATTATGAAAATAAGATAACCAGAGAATGCCATTTTCTAAATCAAATTTTGAAAGACATTTCATATGCTTAAAATAATATCTGTAAGCTCCGGAGCTAATTTAAGATGTCCATAAACATATACGTAATGTATAATTAAAGTTTAACTATCTCGTACGTATTTGATATTCTCGTACGTATTCTTCAAGTTTAAAATGATGTAAGGAAATATAATGGTGACAGTGGTAGATATGAAACACAGTAAAAAAAGTCTAATTCATTCATAAATACTGAGTTCATTTAATGTAAATACATACAATCAAAATTTTACAAAATGAAATAAAATACATTTATATTATAACTTTAAAATAAACATAAAAGTACCAGATAAAAGCATATTATAGCATAAATATATAAGATAAAACTTTTCTGTAACAGAAAATTTTATTCGGAGTAGTAAAAAATATTGATTCTAAAGAAGATACCAAATTAAAAAATAATGAATGCTTTGAAAAGTAATGCTTGATACTTCTGTCTAACGACTCATGAACATGAAGATGAAATAATGGCAGTTAAATACTTATCACAGAATTTAAAACAATACTGTGATAAAATCTTTGACTAAAATTGCTCCATATATATATATATATATAATGCAGTAAGTCCTTCAATCTGTCGCAGACTTAATGCACCATTTCACTAGACGATATATTCCA